ATGTGCAAATGTGGTTGCATATAAAAATGTTCTCTTATAGAATATAGAAATTCTGCATTTTTAAACCTTTAAAGCTTTTTAAAAGTGTTGGTTTTATTATTGTTTAAACTTTGTTCAAACACCATCGAAATGCACGCGCAGAGAAAATCCTTGAATATTGGCAGCTTTTCACATGAATACAACCATTCGTGGAAATTTTGAAACTATTCCCTCGTGAGCAGCAACAGGCGACTCCCACAACAAACCGAAAGTTGATAAGCACAGTGAAGCCAGCGTAAAGCCTTCGCAATATCGGCGTGACACAAATTCATAACATAGATGGATGTGATGCAGATCAATGTCGGCGCACTTGTTGAACTACTCGGGGGATTGTTTTAGCTGGAAAATCAAGGAAGTTACGCGTAGCGGGAAATTAACTTCCCACAGGTATTCAAGGTGTTTATATAGAACTGCAACTGTGATTAAACAGTTGTTAATCAAATGCGTCAGGGAGTTAAAGGTTAATTTTAGTTGGGACTGCGCAAGCGCATTGTACTATGTCACATTAACCAAACTTTTATTATGTGGTAAGCATTGTTTTATTAAAAAAAAAATTAGAATTGAATTTGACGACAGAAAATTATTTTTATTGTTATAATAACAATAATTTTATGTTCCCCGCTGTAGTTTATTAATAATTTGGGTGTTTTGTGATCATTTCTCAAAAGTTTGGTAGAAACCTTCGAAACTTTGCTTTATAATTAATTATCTATGCCAATTTTTAGTTCTACATTTGTGTTGCAACTAAAACACAAACAGAACTTCATCTAGAGCATAATTAATTCGGAATTATTTATAAAATTCATATTTTTCGTGTTTTTACTCATTTTTATTAATAATTTATTCGTATTTTTTATTCTGTGACTTGTTTTCTTCGCACCCACATTGTTAGTTTACATTATCCTGCAAGTACGTGCTAGGGACATAGAGCCAGCCAGAGTCTCGGGTCACTCGGGGGTTCTTATGAACACAAGTCGCAGGACACAAGTCACCATCTTAGCTTGTTGCTTTGGTGGACGTGAATGCGAACGTGAGCGGAAACATAACTAGTTTTCCATTGGCCGGACGCTGTTTCAGCCATAATCGCGTGATGGGAAAATATTAGCGCGGTAGTAATGTTGGCACAGCGTTAGTACGACTCTTGCAAAATGTGAGTTGTTATAAATGTTGAAATTTATAAGCAAGCTACATCGCACAAGTGAATAAAGTTCATTTTCTTGCAATTTCTAAGCATAATTTGCTGTCATATGTTAGGTGTGGCACTTGTGAGGGCAGGTGATAAAAGATAAGCATGAAACAATGAGCACTTGTAATTGTAAAAGAATGTTGAATAGCGTTTATTGAATAAGGCGTCTCTTAATCTGCGTCTGCTGCGCTCTGCTTGTACTTAGCTACTGCACCGGGCGCACGCAGTGCGCCGGTGTTGCGCGGGAAAAATAATGTAATGTATGTTGTGTTGTTGGTTGCCTACGTTACGCATTTCGCTAACACTCGACCGTCCTGACTCTCACTCGTCCTCGAGTGTGTATGCTGCGAAGCGGGCTGGAACCTTTGTGACTCGTGAGCTCTTCCTTACGTTTTTCACCTCGGCAGTGGCGCTTCCACTTGCCGGAACTTCTTCTCCTGCAACGTCGTAATTTGTTCAAAATGGCGGCCCTGGAACCAAAATTGGCTATAAAACGGCGAAAGAAACTAGCCATTCCCAGGAAACGCCGTAGCTGGTGGATATCTGTAGGCGCAGGATACTCCGAGATCGCTCGTAGTTTCGCGGGGCCAGGCTCGATGCCATCGGCACTCAGAATGAACCCTAAATACTCCACACGCTCCTGCATGAAGTAGCATTTTTCGATCCTCAGCGTTAATCCGGCACCTCTCAACGCCATCAGGGTCTTGGTTAACCTGACTCGCATGTCCTTCCAATCACGCGCAGGTATGAGGATGTCGTCAAGGTAGTACATCACCGTGTCATTACGGAGAGGTCCCAAAACCTTTTGCATTAGTTTTGAGAAGTACGAGGGGGCATTGGTCAAGCCAAATACCATTCTGGTAAACTCACCCGTTTGGTCCGGAGTAATAAAAGCTGTCTTTCTGCGTGCTTCTTCCGACAATGGTACCTGGAGGTAACCATGAGCCAAATCAAGTGTCGTGAAGTACCTTGCATCGCGAATCTGTGTCAGATGTTCATCCATGTCGGGCAGCGGAAATGGCAATGGTTCGGTCTGGTTGTTCAACCGTCGATAGTCGACAACCATTCGGTACTCCCCAGTCTTCTTCTTCACCAGCAGTACAGGGCTGGCGTATGGTGAGGTCGTGTCGGTGACTAGACCTGCATCTCTGTATTCGTTGATGATGGTGTTGAGCGCCTCGCGCTCATCGGCACTACATCTGTAAGGCTTCTGGCGCACGGGTTGACTGCCCGGCACCTCGGTGATGTCCATTTGTAGGACCGTTGTGCATCCTAACTCGGAGGAATCGATCGCAATGGTATCGCGGAACTCGTTGAGGAGGCCATGCAGCTCGTTCACTGTGTCCGTATCCAAATTGTCGTCCACGTTGATGACCTCGAGTGGAATGGGTTGCTGGCGGGGCTCAGCTTGCTCCAAATTCAGTACCTCGCCCCGAAACAGACTCGTGTTCTGAGATACATGAGTGGGCTCAACCGCCCAATTGATCAGTGGAAAAGCATGCGTTTCCGTACCTGAGACAACCTCTACCAGGTTTACGGAACGTGGTGGAATGTTCGCTTCCGTCGTCACTCGATTTGACGCGCGCTTCTTCGCCTCGACTTCCAAAGCAGAGAACGGATCATCACTACGGTACGTAAATATCAGGTCGTCATCAATGCGCATGTAGACGATAGACGGGTTCTCGGTGAATGGTCGACCGATGATGGCGTCCACGCTCTGAACGTCGTCCGGAACGATGCTAAAGACTATTTCTGAGAGAACCACACCATCGATGGCAACATCCGCCGTGACAAATCCGGGAGATTTGACAACATGGTTTGCGGGACCAAATGCCTTCAGCAAGGTCTCCTTGCGCTGAATGGTAAAGCCTGCGGCGATGGCTTGCGACGCCTTCAGGGTGCACTCCGAACTTCCTGGATCAATCAAGCTCTGGAACGCCATTCCGTTGCATGTGATTGGCTTCAAGTATTTGAGCACACCATCATTGTCTTGCGAAGTAATGATCTTTACTTGTCCATTACTCTTTGCGGCTGTCTCCGCTGGACGGGTTTCGGGCTTGGATAGTCCGCGTGGTTTTGGTGGGATAGGGCAATCTCTGGCGAGGTGTCCCTCCTTGTTGCAGTTGAAGCATTTCATGACTCGACTTGTAGTCGGCTGTGGCGGTGCTGGGGTTGCGGACCGCCCTACTTCTGATGGTTTCTTCATGGGCGCACCATAGGAATCCATCACACGTGGTGCATGGGTTGATTGACTCCTGGGAGAAGGAAACAAGCGCTCCTCACGAGCCTTGTGCACACGCAAATAATTCAGCAAGTCATGGTACAGGCTGTTGGTGTCGGCGTGACGTTGTGCCATCATGGCTGTGCACAGCTGCTTATCATACAACCCAATAAGCAGTTGTTCCTTCTTCTCCTCCAGGCTCAATTCCAACCCTGCACATAAATGAAGTTTGTTGTAAAAGTAATCAGTAATATCAAGGTCTTTGGATTGTACATAACTTTCCATCCGCTTCCAACGAGTAGCAAAACTGTCTTGTTGGATGAAGGTGTTGGTGAAGGCGGCTTCAAAATCGACTAACGTGTGCACGCCCTGCAGATCCTGGAACCATACGGCGGGTCCTCCAGCGAGATGCGTTCGCACAACCTCTAGCGCGTACGCGTCGTTCCACTGATGTAGTTGGCATTGGCGGCGTAGCGATGCCAACCACTCTGAGGCACTCTTCTTCGCGTCGAACGTCGTAAGTCCGGACTGTGCACCCGGTGCACTATGGTAGGTGGTGGCCGGTGGCGATGGGCGCTGCGCCATTGCCATCGACTGCATTAACGTATTGAACATTTGCATCACGCCGGCCAGGGTGGCGGCGTCCGTGCCAGGTTGTGGTGGCATCGGTTGTTGCGACGCACCAGCTTCGTTTCCATCATCGCCCATCGTGGATGTAGAACGTCTTTCGGCTTCTCGGGGATACTCGCGCGAATCGTCGTTGGCCGGGACGTTGGCCGTTACTCGTGCGTTCCGTTGTGCCCCCTTCGGCACGTGTTCTAACCTCCAAGATTTCCGTTGGCGCGGAAAAAAAACTAGGCTGCCTCGCGCAGGATGCTCTCAATACTGCTCAAGTCTCACGTCTTACCTGTTCATCCCACTTCTGAGATGTTAGGTGTGGCACTTGTGAGGGCAGGTGATAAAAGATAAGCATGAAACAATGAGCACTTGTAATTGTAAAAGAATGTTGAATAGCGTTTATTGAATAAGGCGTCTCTTAATCTGCGTCTGCTGCGCTCTGCTTGTACTTAGCTACTGCACCGGGCGCACGCAGTGCGCCGGTGTTGCGCGGGAAAAATAATGTAATGTATGTTGTGTTGTTGGTTGCCTACGTTACGCATTTCGCTAACACATATGTCTTGGATATAGTAATTTGTGCTTGTATTTAAAGAAATATTGCAAAAATTTTGTATTTTTCATAATAAAACGTGTGTATTACTAGAATATTGCGATGCATGGCTTGGTTTTAATTTTTTTGACATTTTGGTGTAAGTTAAGTTGCAGAGCAAGAATATACATTAGAAAATAAATATTAATTTAATTTAAAACTATATAAAAACATTTAATTAAATAATTTTATATAATATTATTGTTTAAAATATTTATACTGTGTTTTAATAGTTAAAAGTTATTTATTTCGTTTAAATGTGTTAAATTTTGTCATAGTATGAACTTTTACGTATGTTGGGTTGCCTATGTTAAAGTTCCACTTGGATTTTACTTTGTGTTGGTGTAACTGCTGTAAACAAATGCAATATGGCGAGTAGCAACGTTTGAACGTTATTTTCAACCTGGTTTCTAATCGAGAGCTAGAGAATATAGAAATCAGAAGCAGTGCAATAGTGCCACGACTTTAATTTACTGTCGGAGGTGTATCGATTCTCATTGATGTGTGCAACCAAAGCGCACAGCGAAATGCTGAACCAGGTTTCTGTCGAGGCAGTGTATTCCGCGTCCTATGTGGAAAACTATTTGGATTGCGTGGAAAACCTCCCCAACGATCTGCAGAGGATGATCTCTAGGATGCGTGAGTTGGACGTTAACTATCTAGGTATGTTTAAACATCATTCATTTTGACAATGCATCATAAGCATCTTCAAACAAGAATAGGTTAAAATTTTGGGTGTCTATGCGACTGCTGAGTTGATAGTTAATTACTCGGAAATGATTTCTTATTGGATTAATATTATTGCAATCTTCGATTGTTGATTAAATTATAGGTTTAGGTATGTGAAGATTTTGTTTTCTGAGGGATTAAATAGAAAGTTATTGAGGATAGAAATGTGAGTTTGGTCATATTTTAAAAAAATGGTCTAAAAACGTTTGTAATTAAGAATACGAAAATGTTTCCAGTTAAATTTTTACTTTATTAGAAGCAGAATTATACACACAATCATATCTATACTTAATTATATTTGTATCTCTATGCGTTTCATAGTAATTAATTTTAAACTTGAGCTTGGTTTGGCATCACTCCAATTCTTAACCTAAAATTTTTACTGTACGCTTGAAAACAGACGCGTATAATACAATTCCTAAATATTTCAGTACACGTACGAGAAACCCAAAAGCAGATAGAATTATGGCGATCCAGCGACTCAGAAAACTCGCCGAAAATGAAGCGCATCATCAGGAAACTGCAGAAAGCTCTAATTGCAGCACAAGAGCTCGGAGATGAAAAAATGCATTTACTGCAGGCAATCCAAGACAAGATTGAAAATAAAACACGTCTTTTAGATCACGATTTTAAGAATTTGGACTTTGGCAAGGAGGAACCAGCCAGCACAGAGACAAAAGAGCAAGTGCCTGTCATTACAAACAGCAATACTAGCAGTAACAACAATGTGAATACAGCAGAAAGGCCTAATAAGAGGGCGAGGCGGTCGAGGCACGACACGTTGACAGGACTGGACACTAGTCAGAATGATAACGGGCAAGCTGAGCATGTTTTGAGGAGTCAAGTTACATCTACAGCTAATAATACAGCTAAAAAGAATGCAGGTTAGTAATAAATTCAAAATTTATTTAATTTAAACTCTAGTTAATGTTTAGATTAACAATTTTTGATATACAGGGTTCTAATTTAGTAATTGTAGCTATTTATTTTTTATTTGCCATTTTGGTTAAAAATTTTAGAGGTAATGTAAGTTTGGTTGCAGATTTCACTTAAAAAGGTTTTATTTAAAAATAATCTTTTGAGAACATTATTTCTGAAGTGATAATGTATGTTATGTTAAGAGTGGTAATTCAATAATAACTCGAATTAATGGCAAATTTCATGTTTAGGGTCAATCAGGTCAGTTTTTGGCGATAACTTGTTTATAATTGGTTTAAATATTAATATTTCTGCTTATAAGTATTGCAATTTAGTATTACTACTTCGTGTACTAATTTTAGTCAACGAATGTTCAATATTTTAGTTATTATCACCAAAATAGCTCTATTTAACATAAAAATTAATTATTCTTTTGTGATTTCAGGTGCAGGAAAGAAAAAGAAGCGTAAATCTCGTCAAAATCACCAGCGTGAAGAAACGCCACCCAAAGAAGAAGAACCTTCGATTGATCACGACGAGCCCACTTATTGCCTATGTGATCAGATCTCATTCGGCGAGATGATTATGTGCGACAATGATCTCTGCCCAATCGAATGGTTCCATTTCTCATGCGTGAGTTTATCGACGAAACCAAAAGGTAAATGGTACTGTCCGAAATGTCGCGGTGATCGCCCGAATGCGATGAAACCCAAGGCGCAGTTCCTGAAAGAACTCGAGCGATACAATAAAGAAAAAGAGGAGAAGACGTAAACGTGTACATAGCGCAGTAAAACGCGAGAGAGACTTTAATATAAGTTAATCTTTTAAATTTAAATGAACGTACAAACATTTTTAACCGGATGAAGATGCAAATATGAAAGTAAGTAAAAAATTAATTCAAACTTCAAGTTAAAACAAAAAAGTTTATTTGTGTAAAGAAATTAATAAATTTCAAAAGTATTTTACGAAACCATCACATTCTTATATTTTACGTGTTTTTTTATAATTTACTTTCTGATGGTTGATTTTTATTAATACTTAAGAAATTACCTAGAATATTAGCAGTTTCGCGAGGTTTTTTAATGTGGTAGTTGTCAAAAGGTACTTTTATGATGTTTACATGACTATTTTTGCTTTTCAAGGTGTTTAGGAACGTTTTATGCTCGGTTGTTTTAGCCTGCGTGCATAAAATGACTGTCGGGCACATAATCGGTTGTTTTCTTAGGAAATCAATCATGTAATCAAAGCCAGAAGTATGCATCAACATATTTTTCAACTGTAAATCATTCCGCATCAAATATTTACCGTTATCAATTTGTCTACAGCTTCTTCTGGCGATAGCGCGCACTGTTTTTGCCGTGCCACTTTCAATTTCACTAATATCACCTAACATTTCGTAAAATTTAATTTTATCATTGCTGTATTTGTTTTTATATATTTCTAGAACATCGTCAAACGTGAATTCTTCAGGACTTTTTGTCATCTTTATCTTTTCAACTGCAAAATAGTTTTCGTTGATTTGTTTGAATATTTTTGAAAAATCAGTTGCAGGTACGCCATAATTGTACATATCGTCGAGGAGAATTAATTTAGAGATTAGTTTTGGATAAATTTGAGTGAAAACAGCCGCGGTGTGTGCGGATTTTCCATGCGCAACAATAACAACTTGTTTTATACTTTGGTTTTGCCTGAATTGATGCAAAAGTCTATAAATTACGTATTTAATTGTTAAAACAAAGTCGATGAAGTGATAAGTTGCGTGTGGATATGCCGATGATGATTTTCCATGCCCTGGTAGATCAATTGCAAGGTACATATGATTTTCTTTGAAGTTTTCAATCAATTGATCGAATGACGCCGCGTTGTCATGTAAATCATGCAGGAACAATATGATATCATTTGTTTTTATCATATTTTCCGCCATAATTTTACCTAAAACAAAAGAATATTCAATATTTCACTTTATTTTGTAAAGTTTATGACTCACAAGTTACTTGTCCCCATGGTACACAAATTTCAACTTCTAATTCGTTCATTTCGCGGAGAAAAATTCGAACAATCGCGTCGCTTGTGTGTTAAAATAATTCTACTGTGCATCAGAGACATGTTTTGTAATGTTCTGTGTAATATATGCGAGTGAATGATGATAACGACCGGAATAATAGCGTCTTAAAGTGATTTTTAGTGCGAGCGCCAGTGACCTTTACACTTCCATTATTTTTGGAGTCAATTTCCGATTAACAAACAGGAGTGTAATGTAAATGCCTTGAAAGCGGTGGTATGGATAAAAGTCATTGTTATACGTGTAAAACAGTTACGACTTTTTGGTTTTATTACAAAACAAAATAAGAAATTAAGTTTTAAACTTCATTGTTTTGAATTCTGGTTTGATGTCATTTATTGAAGAGATTTCTAGGGATTTTCCATTTCTGCATTGGTACAACTGTTTCTTATTTTAAAATGATGATATCTTATAAATTAAATATATTTTTTGTATTTTGTATAATCTAGATATTTAGGCTTAACAATTAATGTAGTTAAAATTGTTTGTAGTTTGTAGATAAAACATAAAATATGTGTTGTTTGAAGTGTGGTTAGCAAATGTGGGCAAAGCCTTAGAAATTCCCCCAGATTTAGTGGGATTCCGGGTTCATGTTTCAGTTCATTTCAGTTGCGTTCGGTTTGTGTTTGTGCTTCTCTCGTATCGCATGTCGCGTGCGTTAGCGCTTGTATGTAGTAGTGACGCCCGTTGGCCCGTAATTACCGCACGTTAAAATTTGCGCTCGCCGCTCGATGTCAGCGCGCGCGTGTGTGTGCTGTGAATATGCGGCGACTCGCCTGCGTGCCTACTACCTAACACAAACAAACAAACGTTGAGCGTGCCGTCCGCGTATTTGGTGTTTCCCTGTGCGATTGGATTACGTCGCAGCAGCATTATTCGAAGGGAAGAACAATACGCGCAAACTCCACGGGGTTGTAGCGTAGAACACAGTGGACGCGGTCGCGCGGCGTGCGTGATCATCGCGACCGGCGTATTTTGGGAATTTTCCGATGCACAAGCCCTCGAAGCCGATGCGACGCTCGCGCGAAGACTCCAAAGTGCCTGATTACCCGCAGGACAACCTGTGATTATCGTGCATTGATGTTTTATCAGCGTGGGACAACATGAATAGTAAGAAAACATTACATACATAGCCAAATACTCTCACATTTTGTTTTTGTTTCATTTCCTATAATAACACCAATTATAATTTTCCAGTGTACACAATGCCAGGGGTTGCTGATATGGGAATGGTCTGGATGGGCTCCTCAACGCCAGACATGTCTCTGGGCCTAATGCAGCAAGATGGTGAAATGTTACTGGATCATGACAGTAATTATTATCCTTCCTCACATCACAGTGCTTCAAATCATTCAATGGATGATATGAGTAGTCATCTACACAATTCACCAATGGTAATTTGATTTTCTTTTAATAATCATCGATAATTAAACATTATAATTCTAGGCAATGGAAGGTTTAGATATGTTGACCATGGGTGATTCAAATGATGGCAGTAGTTACACTGAAGATGATTCTCAAGTGTACATGATCACAACTGCCACACAGACCTTACCCTGTCCAACACGGAAAATCAAACCAGTGAAACATCCTGGTTTGGTTCTGAAAACACCAATTGCTTACCAGGGAAATACAGATCCATCTGTGATACCCATACAAAAAGATGGCATAGGTAATACATAAATCACTTCCACCATTTTGTTTTGATTACATTTTTTATGTTTTTAATGTATTTTTAAGCTGTATGTGAAAAATGTGGAGCAATCGGCGTAAAACACGCTTTTTATACGCGTGAGCGTCGATTCTGTTCACTTGCCTGCGCTAGAGGTTACACAGGCCTCGGTGGTCTGAATCTCATGCCGCAGAATTCCTCCACGCAGACAATGCAAGACTCCCTGGAATACGCCGAGCATCACTTCAAAATGGAACCACCTTCGGAATCCCTCGAAGGTCTAACTTATGACGCTCCTTTCCCGCAATTAGCCCAGCCCAAAGACGAAGACCCACCAGTCGACGAGAATATCTCACTGATCAGACGCCGCACGGCGTATATACCCAACAGTTACGACTGGGATCAGTGCCTCAACAATCCCAATTTCATCGCTGCACCAGTACGATGTTTCCCATCAGCGCCTATGTCTGATATTTGGGATAACATCCTTGTTGGTATGAAAGTTGAGGTGGAAAACACCGATTCCGATAATTTGAGTGAATCATTCCCGGATTCATTCTGGGTAGCTTCAGTTGTGAAAATAATCGGGTATAAAGCCCTGCTGAGATATGAAGGTTTTGGGCACAATAGCCAGAAAGATTTCTGGGTCTCGCTGTGTTCAAATCAGGTACATCCGGTTGGATGGTGTGCGACAATCGGGAAGCCTTTAATTCCACCGAAGACAATCGAGAGTAAATACAGCGATTGGAAGGAGTTTCTACGAAAACGCTTAACCGGCGCGCGGACACTACCTTCGAACTATTCTAATAAAGTGAATGATTCACTAAAATCACGATTTCAATGCGGGTACCACCTTGAAGTAGTGGATAAGAACAGAATATCTCAAGTTAAAATCGCGATGATTCATAAAATAGTCGGCAAGCGCTTGAATGTGAAATATTACGATATGTCGCCAGAAGATGCTGGTTTCTGGTGTCATGAAGATTCACCTCTATTACATCCAGTTGGTTGGGCACGACGAGTTGGGCATAACATAGTCGCACCTGATAGTTATCTCCAGAAAGTTAAGAGTGGTTTCTTTGACGATGAAGACGCCACAGATGAATTGTTTAAACCCATTCAAGTTGGTACAGCAAGCAGCAGCTCACAGTTTGCTATCGGTATGAAATTGGAAGCAATTGATCCGCTTAATTTGTCGTCAATATGCGCTGCAACTGTAATGGACGTCTTGCATTGTGGGTATATTATGATTCGGATAGACACGTACGATGCAGACGCAACGGGCGCGGATTGGTTCTGTTACCATGAGACGTCGCCATGTATATTCCCGATCGGGTTCTGTGATATGCATGGAATTCCGCTCACACCACCAAAAGGATACTCGCCGGAGTTGTTCACCTGGGAGAGTTATCTTGCTTCCACGAATAATGTACCAGCGCCAAGGGATCAGTTTGTGGAGAGCGTGCCAAATTTAGGGTTTATGGAGGGGATGAAGATTGAGGCGGCGGATTTGATGGATCCGAGACTGGTTTGCGTGGCGACTGTTGCAAGAGTTGTCGGGAGACTACTAAAAGTAAGTATTAATCAATCAAAAGTTAAATTTTACTAATTTTATATTATTAGGTGCATTTTGATGGTTGGGAAGAAGAGTATGACCAATGGTTGGACTGTGAATCTCCTGATATCTACCCGGTGGGGTGGTGTATCAGTGTGAGTCACAAACTCGAAGGACCACCGTCTGCGTCATTGCAGAAACTGAACCAAAAGACGCTCACACCTCCAAAAACAATGAAAAAACGCGGTCGTAAGAAGAAAAATACAAGTCCTAACAATAAAAGCACCACACCTACACCAACGCCAGCGATGAATACGCATCAGTTGCGACAACGCAACGAAGTTAAGTATATCAAAGAAGAAGAGGAAGATGAAGATGATGTGGATGTGGGCATGGATGAGTCAAGTGTCCAGGAACCGGAAATGGCGGAGGAACCAAGTGGGCCTGATCAAAGTCTACCGGTTGCGAGTGAACCAGTTGGTGCGGCACCACCGCAGGAACGCAAAGTTCCCACTTATAATGTAAGTTTATAAAATTTCAGATTATATTTAGCGGTTATAATTTTGAAATTTTATGATTACAGACGAGTAGCACGAGTAGCAAATTTATACCTAGGTTAGTTGATTTAACTGGTGGTTCTGGCAGCAATAATTCCGAAGCTGGTGAGCTGTGTCCAAGCGAATGGAATGTTTTCGACGTGGCGCAATTCCTACGTGTAAACGATTGTGTAAATTACTGCGATTTGTTTAGTAAACACGTAAGTAAATTATGTCTTGGTGAATTCTTTAAATTTATTACTCACTTTTTTTTATAAATTTTAATAGAAAATTGATGGAAAACTGCTGCTCAACTTGACGAAGGAAAACATCTTGGATTACACGTTGGGAAAAGTCGGGCCGTCGTTGAAGATCTACGATCTCATCCAACAGTTGAAGATTAAAATCAACCCGCAAGCGCGACACGGCAATAAGAAGTTTTTCTAATGCGAAAATAATCGTGCGTCCTGCCTTTCGAACGCGTTTGATTGTTTTAAATCGAACCGCGTTTACATTTATAACCTAATTTGATACCTCGTTGGTCTCATAGTCTAACAGCTCACATAATTTGCTTGTTCTTGTGTTTAAGAATGGTAATGAGAGTGGAAAAGGAAACTAATCGTGCCTATGATAACAATTATTATTGATTTTCACACTTGACAGTTTAAATGTTGACATAAACCAAACCGTTAAGCAATGTGTCATGATCAAAACTTGATTGATTGATTGATTTACCAAACAATTGTCAAAAATCATGATTTATGTGTTGTAATAACAAAGGAAACGCTAATTATTGGTGCTACCCGTGTTTCCACTGATGAAATGAAAGAAATTCACATACAAATATCATATACCTAGATGGAATAAGTAATTACTGAAAATCAGGAAATTGTTTACGATAAGTTTGCCAATATTATTCTTATTTTGTACCATTAGGTTTTTATTTTCAATCGGACAAGGCAAATGTGCGCGAAATTTCGGATAAGTTTGATGAGTGAGAATCGTTTTTCATTTTGGTATTTTTGCGATGAAACATTATTTATGAATTATGAATATAAATAAGATTATCAAATAAAAGAAACCAAACAAATGCGAAACAGGCCCATAATGGCGGTTTGCACGGATGTGAAGCGCGCGAACCGAAGCAATAATTGAACAATGATCTTTTGTTTTTCGGTTATTTTTATTTATATCTGTGCTTTTGGTTCAAGATGGCGTTGCTTTTGTGCATTCAACGCGCGAGAATAATGCGGTCGATTCAATTGAGTAATCGAGTAATGCGAAGAGTGGTTGTTAATAAAAGGAATTTGGCGAAAGGAGAATGAATGGAGCGGAAGCGCATTATGCCGCTGTTATAACATCACAACATGGCGCGACGCCGGGAAAGAAAGAGCCGAAAGATGAAGATGTGGTGCGAAGGGTGCGAAGACGATGTGCCTGTGCCATCCGCGCGGCCGCTACAAGGTGAGTGTCGATGTTTGTCTTTTTCTTGCGCTCGAGTCGGCCGAGTGCATTTCGGTTATGAAATGGCGTCTGTTGCTCGACTTATGCGGCGTGCTGTACCGCGAGGCGGGGCCACGCCGACCAGCTGGCAGACGCTCCGAGTACGGCGAGGCGCGCTCCATGCGCCGCTGCCAGCGCGCCGAAAAGTGGCGCCACGCACACATCCACACCGGCGGCAACGACGCACCAGCGAATAACTTCGATTTGTCGCATAACCACGGCAACGCAATGCAAATGACATTCGTACATATGATGATAATAATATTACTGACAGATTACCGCTGACAAGCGGCTTAAAGTGATTGAATTGACGTCGATATCGGCTGAAATTCGTGCGGACCGCATGGCAGATTTGAGGTTGTGTGTGTGTGCGCGCGCGCGCCGCCCGGCGTAGGAACGGCGTGCGTCCGGCTGGCACCGCACCAGCGCCCGCTCGACCGGGGGACCCCTCAGCTGTTTCCCGCCAAACGGCGTCATCAGAGAACCGCTGTGAGGCGTACGTAGCGTATGTTCGTCGCGCGCGCGCTCGCTTCCTACGAGACGGTGTGTACTACGCGAGGATCTACCGCAGCGCGGCCCAAGTGTGTGTGCGTAAGGCGCGAAAACCGCCATCAGCCGATATCGGACGAGAAAAACGCGCGCGCTTTTCCAACAACCATCAACCAACATCATCATCATTCGCAACATCGTGAGTGCCTGCCTGCCTGCTGCAGCCTGCAAACGCGCAATTTGCGGTGCGCTCGCCGTGTGTTTACAAATATATCGATTCGCGGCGTGCGCGCGCGAGATCGATAGTTGTACTACGTGAGTGCGGCGAACGCACGAGGACTGGCGTGTTGGAGGCGGCCATCGTTCCCGCGCGGAGATTATGTCCGCGTATGCTGATAAGAAGCTCATCTACGAGGAGGTTTTCGAGGACCGCGTGGAACTGGTGGAAACGAGGTAACACAACGCATGCATATTTCTTACTTGAGTCGAGCGCGCGCACACCGCCGGTACTGCGCGTCGCCCGGCGCTATTCTCCCGCGCCTGCCGGATGCATCCGACGTTTTCTCACAACACAACTGAAACAGCCGGTTTTCAGTTCAAATTTTCACTCAACGCTGACAGTTGACATCGTCAACCAAATCATACACATTAAATTAAACAAATATTTATTTAATTCAATTTCATGCATTGCTTTGGATTTATATTCGCACAATATTTTATTTTTTGTTCTGGATTATTCCACATGGCGGCCATGTTGTTGGAACACATGACTGCCATGCCGTCCGCTGTCCACGCCGGTGGAACACGTTTTCTTCTCTCACGCGTTGCGAAACTTTGTCAATCGATTATTTTATGGAATCAGGTGTCAATTATTTGAACTTTCACGTCATTCCAAAACACGTGTTTGACTTTTACTTACACTTCCTATAAATATTAAATATAAAATACATCCGTTGGCATTTGTTATCGCGAAACGATTACACCGCTTGCGTTGTAGAAATTCAATGCCAAAATAACGCAAACATTTTATTATTGCTATAAAAATAGATTCGTGCTGCTTTTTTCGTGTGTGTGTATGTCTCTTGTTTGGTTACATCGCTGTTTTATAACGAGAACTGGAACAAGTTAAGCGACAACACCCACATCATCACATGCGGATGGCGCGAGCGCGGTGACGCGTTCGATTTAAAAGTCGCTAAATATAATTCGCGTGAGTCATTAAAATGGCGGCGCGTAGTGCACTTAATATTCGCGCAGCATCGTGCGTGTTGCGCGCATTGCAGATTCGGCTTAATTGAATCGAGTGCTGGCGCACATGTTAATATACATTTGCCGCTGTTTTACGATTGAGTTCGCGGAATTGTTATATATTTGCGCAAGTGCATGTTGGGAAAACCGTAACTAGTAAACAGATTATATCATTTCGGGTGATAATTGATAATTTGTGGTGGTATTTTAACCGCTAAATTTAAATTAAATTGAATTTACATAATTTTAGTTGTATATAAACAAATTAGGATTAAAATTAATCATAAATTAGGTTAGGTTGAAGTTCTAGGTTAGTTTTTTATTATTTTGCATTTTATTTTATTTTAATACAAGAAAAATTGAAAAATTCGGAGTATTTAAAGAAAAGCGTCGAAAACCGATTTATTTCATTCATATAGGTATGTAATTCATTGTTTCCACTCTTAATATGTAATGAATTGTCGATAATTCATGGAATAGTTGACAATATTGTGTATTTTATCGTTGACAGTTGACTAACCAAAGTTTGATTCACTTTTATTGCTGCAATTGACAATATTAAATTTTAATAACAAAATTGATTTAAATTCAATTTAAAATTAAAATATGTTAACATTTATTGATGATTTGTTACGATATTTGCTGTTTTAACATGAATCATGTTTTAAACTTCAAAATTTCTAAAATTTTGTATGCTTTGCAACATTGTAACATGTTTCTACACGCTAGATTTTCGCACCGTGCGCCGCGTTTGTTTGAACAAATATTTACACCACAACTCATCGCAGTGTTTATCGTGCGTTTAGTATTTTAGCGCGGCGAATGCCACGATTGTAAATAACCGCAGTACGCAGCAGCAGCAACAGCGCAATGAGTCGATTGCAACAATGTTGCTGCTGCTCTCCTCCTGCTGCTGCCTGCGTGTAAACAGAATGAATGCAGCGAGGAATGCGAGATATTTACCGTGAGCTCTCCTCGTTGTGTGCTGCGGTTGCGAACAGCTGATGGATCAGATGATGCGCGAGCAATCGAGCGAGTTTGTTGGCCTATTCATAGATTGATGCAGGCTGGCAGGCTGGGAATTCAATAGACAACTGGCTGCCAAGAGAGAGGATCTAGATTTGGATCAGCAGTTACATGCAAGGAGGTTTTAAGTCGATCGATGAGTAAAGATTGATAATGTTTAAAAAGAAAAAAAGTTATTGAATACTTTTTTTCGGGTTTAATTTGGTTTATTTTTTTTAATTTTTATTTTGATATATTGTATCGTGCGGATTATGACATATGGGTTGACTAGGGTACTCCGCACTGACATAAAAACGCGATAAACACATGAAGCCCAAAGAGGGATTGTGAGTTACGAGGGGTTCGGCAAAAACATGACGCTCCGTGTGTATAGGTGTAGAGGCAAAAGTGGAGTATAACATCACGAGCAGCTGTTTCACTGCGTGCGCATTGTTTTCGCAGTGTCCTCCGAAGGGCAGGTGGTATTTGAAAAACAACAACATGAAATTCATACCTAGGACACAATCACATCGCAAAACATAAATAAAATAAAAATAAAATTGTTTATAAAGCTATATATTATTAATTTTCTTGTTATAGCGTTGCATCTCTTCTGTATAACGACAAAAAATATTTTTATTTTTTGAAATTGACCTTCAATATCTTTTTTGCTGATATGACATTGATGATAACATTTGAAATATTGATGTAATTATGATCCCAACATCTCTACAAATTTGCAATGCAACTTAAGCACGATTTTTTAGCTAATTTGTTGTTACAATAAAATTATTCAACAACATCTCGACGCGGAATTCATATTTCGACTTCAGGAAATTTTTACCGCCACTTTTTCTAGAGTAATTGAGTTTATAACCAACTTACAAACGAATAAACATATTTCCTTACACGCAAAAACTCAAAATTTGGTTAAATTTTCTTTTTATTCATTGATTTTCACTGCATTTATATATTTACATGAATGAAGATTAAAAAACACGCTGCACATTGTTTTTGCGTGCATTAACTGTTTAGCATATTGTTTGCGCCTGCATATTTTGCATTTCTGCGCGAATGTCAGCCTCCTCCTCTCTGTGTGTGTATGCTGTGGAGATCTCGCTGGGTGTCTCTGTATTTATTTATGAATGAAACAAACCGAAGGTAACACGCCGCGCGCTCGACTCGACACAGATACCGGCTTTTATTTACTTATTTGTTGCGCGCCACGCGCACACAGCGCGCCGCGCGATCCACTGACTGACAGAACGGACGAACACAATTTACACAATCGTTGCTGTGTTGTTTAATACGGAACGTAATTGCGACAATCAACCATACGCGTTGTTGTTTTTTCTGATTCATTCATGAAACTTGCTTCTTTTTTTTTATATAATTTATACAACATATAAGTAAACAATTATAAGAATTTATTTTGTAGTAGTAGTTGTGCAGATGTTGCATCAATTTTTATAACTTGTTATTCAATTTTCGCTTCAGTTATTTATCTATATTCAATGTCAGGTAGAGAAAATTTTTGCCATCGTGAGAAATTAGCTCCGAAGTTTTGCATCACATCGCATCACATCTGTAATATAAGTAGGTAAATTTTTACCTGGCCGCAGGTAGAAATGTAAATTCGTGGTGTTTTCGTGGAAGGTTCGAAACTACTCTCTTTTTTTTTTCTTCTTCTTTATATAAAGGTATTTATTGTGGTAGTGTAGGTTTTTTCAAGGTTCTTCTGTGATCTCTTCCTTATTGCTTCATTTGCTCTATTGAATGAATGCGAACGCGACACATGTTCGCACGCAGCCCTCGGGCGAGGGACAATATTCAAAAGAATTCACGCAGCACTATAGCGATGTCGATCGCATCGCAAGTAAAAGGGCTTTGCAGGCTTTTCAATACAAACAGAGATGGAAAGAGAAATCTTGTCGTTTATTTAGGAAACTGACCTTACTCAATGTTATTTCACGTGTGCCAAGATGTAACGCATTGCGTTGCGTTACTGGTTATAAATTATTATATTTTTAATGTCACGTTAAAATTTGTAGTTAAAAAATTATTACGGTACTCTAGAATGTTAGGTAACATAGGTAACATTATTTTTAATGCGAGTGCATTGACTGCCGGTCGATAAAATGCGTCCCACATTGATTAGCCGCCCGCTTTTTCGCGTCATTAGTGCGTAGTGTGCGATAAGCACCTGGCGTCGCGCTGGAATGCTGTTATCGGTGCGCATAGACACCTGTTTGTGAGCGCACATCGCATAAAACTAACAAAAACCTCCCACATACACATCATAAATAGTAGCATTAGACCAAACACGAAAACACAATATATGAAAGAGTTGAAAGTTTTGAGTTTTTAGCGCTTGTTTCGATTGTGATCGCGTGAAACAATCGCGCCTGATAACATGGCTAACACCACTCATTTGTGGAAATGGTGGCGTATTTATGGAAATGTACAGGAAACATGCATGTCTTATCACTTGTCGGTTTGATAGTACTGTTAAACTCGCGCGGTATGATGGATATTGCCGTGTGGAAAGTATGTTCGTAGTTGAAAAAAAAAAACTAATGCAATGGTTGCGACAACGATTATGCAAGCGCCATCGCGACTGATAACGCGACAATAAAAACGTTATCGGCGACGCGGTGCGCACATTGATTGTCATTCGCTGGCAGCGAATAAATAAACATGACAGGAATTATACATGTAGATGTATAAAGGTGAAGAAGTGGTGTAATTTTCGAAAGCTATTCATCCGGAGATGGCGTTGAGTAAAAACTTGTTGTATTATATGTAATTTTAGTGAAGTTGTCTGACTAACTACTTTTTTGTTGCTTGGATTTATTATTTGTCAAATTAACCAATAAAATCCACAATTTTATTTTAAAGAAAGGAGAAATGCTAATCATGAACTTTTGCGCCAACTAGAGTCGAATTCTATAACTATAACTATGATTGAATGTCCATATCAACTTTAATCCTTAATTTAACACCTTTTAATAATATTTTGCGATTAAAACAATTTTATTTTCTTTTCTTGGGTCAAAACTATTTCTATACAAAAATTTATCAAAATTACTTCACTGGTTTTTACGTAAACGCGCCACAAACAAACAAATCAACACAAATTCTCATTTTATAATATTACATTGAATGTGTTTATTATTGCGGACAGTGCAGCATTGTGACTCATTGTTGGCGGGTGTGTGTTGTGTAATGCGCATGTATAATATAATTACCGTGCGATAATTATTTGTAATGACCTTTGATGGAATTCGACATGTTTGCCGCTTGCATTATTTATTCGCTACACTTATAACTCGCTCGCGCTTGTCGGCGCTCGATTAATAACTATACTTATGTGAGTTGATGAACGTCACGCGTAAATTGCGATCTAAATTTATCCGATTGTTTGTAAACAAAATACACATGGAGTTTCTTTATTTTTTTTTTGTATTGTTTGAATAGCGTGTATGTTTGTATGTGGCGAAGATGAGTTTTTATTGCTCGTGGGCGTTGCTGATGAGGGTGGCGTGAGCTGTGGGGCGGCGTAGGCGGCGGCGTAATCGGGTCATGACGCCCGACACCGCTCCGCCTAATGCAGATCAAACAAACCAAGCAGAAGCAAGACGGGCAAACAAGTTAAACAATTTCCAAGATTTATTACCTTTTTTTTTCTTTTCTTCGTCTTTGTGGTTTACTTTAAGACATCTTCTATAAAATAAAATATAAATACAAAGTTTGAATGTCGATCGTTTTAATTGGTCAATATTTATCTTGGCAATTAAACATGGTGTGAAGTTTTCGCGCTGTGTAATTGGTATTTAGATTATTCGATGACATTGACACGTTTCAGTGCGGGTTGTGAGTGTGAAGGCGTCGGCGGCGGCAGAGAGAACTGCTTTTCATCTCTCGGGTAATCTGCGCATTGTGATTGATGAGGGCAGCGTTCATTGACTGGCGTGCGCGAGCGCAAATCGGCGCAAAGCTTGAGTAAACATTTGCACTTTGTTCGGGCCGTATATGCACGCTTAGCGCTAGCACTCTAGGGCGTTTGATTGTTGTGTCGATCGTGTGTCAAAGCGGAAACAAATGAATTATGCACGCGCTCGACACAATCGCAATCTTCTCGCCCCGTCAAGAACCACGCCTGTTTGGTGTCGCCGGTTTTAATTAAAGCAAAGGCAAAAAAAAGCTTAGCATTATGTTGTAAAAGTGGAAAATTGTATGAAATGCTTTGTTTTCCACTTTTGGCATGTAATACTCTTCAAGAAAAACAAAATATTGGGATTTTTCGCGGTTCGTCGTATTTTTGATCTTTTATAGGTTGGTTATAAACTCAATTACTCTAGTAAAAAAGCCGGGAAATATTTCATGAAGTCTAAACATGAATTTAAGTCATGAAAGCTGAAAAATCATGCTTAAGTTATAGAAATTTGCATTGCAATTTGTAGACACATCTATGTCATGTCTTTGAAAAAGCATTCTGGGTCATAATTGTTAGAAATAAAAATATTTTAGTTGTTACACAGAAAAGCCGTAAAGCTACAACGAGGAAATTTAATATACAGCTTTATAGGCAAGTTGTACACATTGTAATGCACTGTTTTCCACCCTAGGCATGTAATCTACCTACTACTATTCCAGTTATTTTTATTATTGGTTGATTGGTAATCGAGGTCGTCGGTGTCGCTTGTCGTGTGCGTTTCGCGCGGGCCGTGCCCGATCAGCTGATGGCACGTCGGCTCGTCGACTACTCGGTCGGCTTGAGTAATCGTGATAATCACATGTTTCATTCATACACAGCATTACATGCATACGTTGTTGCTGCCGCCGCAGGCGCGCACTATACTATTACTACGATTCGCACTATTACGTTTTCTATCGTGGGATTTCACTACGCGCGTACTTTTCTAGTGTCGCGAATGGCGAGAGTCGAATGTCTCTCCGCGGAACGAATCGCTATCACGCTGGAAAACATTACTCAATGCTCTTTACTCACCTAACTTACTTTACTTTACCTTATCTTTTGTTTGTGTGTGTTTTTCAGTGAACTAATAACAACTGAAGGAGAACCACCGACGATGGAGCAGGAGAAGCGCATTCGGCGCGAGATTGCCAACAGCAATGAGCGACGGCGAATGCAGAGCATCAACAACGGCTTCAAGAGTCTACGACTACTGCTGCCCCATCACGAGGGAGAAAAACTCAGCAAAGTGAGTATTTTTACATCATTTATTTAATTAATTACGAGTCACATAAATTAAATTGACAGTCATTGCAGTATCTGCTCGTGGAGTTAAAAATATGCGTCATAATTAACAATTAAACGCTTTTAATTGGTCGTCGCGCGTCTGGGGCCTCATGTCAAAGTTTACTAGATGATTAATTAATTAACTCTGTTTCTTTCGTATTTCTTGCAAAGGCAAAGGCGTGTCTGTTATTTAAAGAAAAAAAAAGTTGTGAAATTAAACGTCTGGATGGTTTATAAATAACTGCGACGCCGGCGTCGAAAAGTCAGCTGATGTCCGTGTCTGTCCACGCTTTTCTTAACTCTCGAGACTTGGGCCGCTCGTCTTCCTAGCGAATTTAAATTCGTATTCTGGTTATTCTGGTTCGGCGCTTCGGGCAATGTGTAAATATAGACATTTCGGGGTCACGTGGCAAGTCTAGACACAGAACATGCGATGCTCGCCTGCCACCGTTAAATATTTGCTAGCAAAATGCTTCGGCGCGCTTGCAAAATGTACAGAATAAAAAGATATCGAGAGAAATTGAACGCGGTTGTGTTGGTTGGTACACGAAGCGAGTGGAAAATGCACGATTATTGTGCAATTTGTTTGCGTTTTTGCGGTTGCTGTTTGTTTAAGCACCATTTTTGTGTGTGGTGAAAAATAAACTTTAGAAATATTTTTAGTGCGCGATTTGTGATTTGCGCGCGCCGTTTGACCCTTTTATTTTCTCGGCCACTTTTCAGCGCATCGGCGTGAAATTTTTACAACTACTGACCGACGCGCCGCGCGTTTTCTATGCGCGAGGCTGAATTTTGAATTGCGTTTCGCATCGTTTTCGAACGATGGAATGCTCTCGTCGGTCGTGCGTGCGTGCGTGCGTGCTTTACCCTGACCCACATTCGATTTCTCCTTCTCGTCGCACGCCGATGCCGGCCGGCGAGCCATTTCTCGCGTTTCACTTGCGTCAAGTATCACTTTTTTAAATTCATCGCTTTTTTTTTTCGGCTTACATTCCTGTCTGATGACGTCCAAACAAAGATGTATTTATTTCAACGCTTTTCAAATAGATTTAGAGCCAGAATAATCATCTGATGTAATGCACGATAGAGAAATGATTATTTTTATGGAGAAATTATGAATTAAACGGATTGCATATCGGTTGTTGGTGTATACATGTCACTAGAGATAAGTAATTATCGTCTATGCGCTTATATGGCTCGACATGGATAGAGTTGGCCGGCGAGCGCGCGCGCGGCTAGACTGTTCACATCCGTTCTAATTTCACACCGCGCCATATTCATTCATACGAGTCGCCCATCACTACACGCGGCTCGCGGTAAATCATTACGTTTTCGCTACGTGCAAAAATGTTTCATTCATAAAAGTACACACCACTAAAATTAATATTCCGGCCACCACACACTAATATACATACAGAGAACATGAAAAGAAATAAGGAGGATGATTATACTTCGATTGTCTTTCGAGGTGTTGTGAGTTTTGTGCTGATTTCGACGTGCGCATTGTGCCATGCATGTTGGTTGCATGCATTTCAATTTTCATTCCGTGTCGGTTGCACGCTTGAAAGTCCAAAGTCTAGACGCCTCGTCGCTCGCCGGAGAGCCTCTCGAGTCGGTTGTGTAGACATTGTGTTATAATGAGGCAGGTCACGGTCGCATCGGCGGATGATCGAAGTCTCGCGCAAAGCGAGCAACCGCTGAAACTATCCGCGCAAACCGCCGACCGACAACACCAGCCAGCAGCACACTCGGTCGGCGAGTGAACGAACGGAATGCACGAAATGTTTTTATGTTGCTGCAGTGTGGAGCGCATCATGCACACAATATTCCTACACTTTTTTTTTTCAAAAGCAGAAAATTTACTATTCTAGACTTTGATACACAAAAAATAAGCAAACACGAGGATTTTACGTCGATTAGCATCTGTATAATGGTTATAAACTCAATTCTTTCTGAAAAAATGGCAGTAAATATTTCCTAAAGTCTACTTAAGTTAAATAAATTTGCAGGAATGTTGGGATCATAATTCCAACAATATTTCAAGTGTTACCATCAATGTCATGCTGCTAAAAAAGATATTGAAGGTCATAATTTCATATTTTTTATCATAACACAGAGGAGCTGTTAATTAATGTATTGCTTTAAAGACAAACCAATCAAAAAGTACAAATCTTGCAATTTTACGGGGTGTGTCATTAGATCGAGGCCACTGTATGTTTAAGCTAATTATTTATTACCACCCACTTAATCCTCTATATTTACAACCCACGTGCAATCTCCAATATTTTTGCACCTTGTGGGATGGATCTGGTATGAATCATTCATGCAGCCGATGAATGAATAGTACCTTCCAGACGATGTAAACCTCTCGTTTTGGTCCGTCGCCGGCGTTTCTTTGGCGCTCTCGAAGAAAGATCGTGAGTCTCCCGACCTACGCTCCACACTAAGCGTATAATAATCTCCGCCGGTCCATTTTTGGTCATAGTTCCGGTTCATTCTATAATATTTGTGTGTTTTATTTAGTTTTTATTGTTGGTGAAGGCGCCTACTTCCTACACGCACAATTATTTAATTTCGTGCGTGCAACCTGTAATTCCTATTGATTGCGTGGAGGTCGATGACAGCAAATACGCGTTGAATATTTTATTATCATCCTACTTTGAGGATACTTTCACTCGACTCGACATTGAGAGCAGTATTTCGGTAAATGGGAAATTGGGATGTAGGAAAATTGTGGAAATTTACCGCGCTGGGCGGAGAAAATTACCGCTCGGCGCTGTAATTTATCAATCGCACCCTACAATTTTCGACTTGCGTAAGAAACCGTAACGAAACAAAACGAAACCGGCTGTTATCCACCCGCCCAATTGTGTTTTTAACCGGTTCATGTGCATGTAATATTTATTTTCGACTTTAATTATTCACCAAGTGGATTTCTGGGAAATTTTCTAATTAGCTGTACGTTTCCATCATATGTAGGTATTATAGTTATTTCATTAATGTTAATCGAGTCAAGTCACAAAGTGGGCTTTGTATTGTTTTGTGTGCTGTGCGCATGTATGTGTCTCTTAGTTTCACACCGTGTGATTCTGGTGGTTTCTCAGTAGTAGACGCGCAGACGTTTTGGTCTGTCTGCTGCGCGCGCGGTGGCAATGTGTGTGAGCACGAGCGTTTTATGAATCTGCTTAAAACGCGAGCGCCGCGCGATGAGATGGTAATGCGGTAATGTGTGGCAATAATGAAGTTGCAAGTACTGTGTGAACCGGCGCGTCGCGGCGTTCCCTTCGTTCGCGCCTAGAAGTATTCTCGCAAGAGTTTCTCGAGGATAGATACTCGGCGGGCTTTTAATTTTTAAATTATAGCTGAATTGCGTTTTGGATTTGAATTTAAATCGTCCGGACATGAATTAGATTCATTTAAGTGTTGTAATTTAGGGGAATTATAAAAGTAATTAAAAATTGCGTGTTTTTATTGGTAATTTGATTAGAAAAAATGATTTTTTTTTAAATACAAAAAAATTGTTGTTTTTAGTTTAAAATTTGTTTATTTCAATTGATTATTAATGAAAAACATGTGTTTTTGGTGGATAGCTGCGAATGAGGGCGCTGTAGTCGCAGCGTCAACTTTCCAGCTGACATACAAAATGGCGATCTTTTACCAAACTTTATTTTTAATGATAAATATTATTAATTTTCTCCTAAAAATGAATTTTTGTTCATTCTGATTAAGTAATACATGCAATATTTTGACATTATTATTATTCGCTTGTTTCGCCTGACCTGTACGCTTTGTAGAATGTTAAAAAAAGCGCCGCCTGGCTGGCAAAAAGTTAATTTAAAACAATAGGCTCGCTTCGTTACGTATGCATTGTGTCTTGTCCGCGTTGTCGGAAAGGCTGATGAACTCCGGTCGCGTTTCCGTCTTGTCTCTTTTGCGCGCTGCCGCGGCCGCCTCGCCTTCGGGGGCCTCGTCGTCTGCGCGCGGCGCGCCGTGAAGGTCTCGGCTAGTTGACGTAGAACTAATTGGCGCTTTGGTGGCTCGCGCGCGCTATGACTTACCGCGCTTACTACAAGCGCTACTCATCGAAGGAATTTACTCGTACTCATACTACTCAGTCAGCTGAGGCCGAAGCAACAAAAAAAAAAACACGCGCAAGTATTTGACTCAGAAACACAGTGTATCATTATTTCTCCAAGCAGAGAGGTGATAGTATTTCGTAAGTTTTGTATTCATGTTGGGAGGTCATCTGCGCGGTGCTCTTTGCGCACTTGCATCTCTCACCTTTTCCCGTTGTGAATCTTTAGTAGGTGCCCGTGGCTACGGACGACTCTCTTCCTGTACGCCGTGGTGGTGAATTTATCGACTAGGATGCAGGCGTTCCCTGCGCATCTTGCACATTTTGTGCGCGCGCCGTGCGCATCAGCTGGTGCCGGGCTATTGTACCCAGTCATTATTTAGGATTTAGGGTGTGGTAATATTAACATTACCCCATATTTACAATTACATCAAATATTAATCTCATATTAAGTTTATATTTTATATAAAATAATTACTATTACGAATAATACACAAATATAATAATGGGATGATTTGTGGGGGTAAGGGTGTGTGTTGCTAATTCTCGTCGGTTGCCCGGGCGACCGACGGCCGAATGACGTCATCCGCGCGCGCCCGCGAGTGAACGGAGACGAGAAATCGATTTTTCGGGGGTTGCCCCCACACCCCTCCTGCTTTACCCCGCAGCCGCCGGGAGAGGCACTCGCGAGGAGAACGAACTGCATTGCACTCTTCATAGTAGATTTCAACAAGATTGTATTTCGGTGTAATTAATTTTTGCTTGGAGTTTACAAGCACATAGTTGCCAAGGTTGATGTGTTTGTAGTGCTGTTGTACTCTCTGATGAGTCGCGCGACGTCTCGAGGTGGTTTCATTCATCATTCATTTGTATGTTCAGGGCCACTC